GACAAACGTCCAGTTGTAATGTCAAACAAGCGTCCTATTGCAATGTCAAACAAACGTCCTATTGTAACATCCGACAAACGTCCAGTTGTAATGTCAAACAAACGTCCTATTGTAACATCCGACAAACGTCCTGTTGTAATGTCAAACAAGCGTCCTATTGCAATGTCAAACAAACGTCCAGTTGTAACATCCGACAAACGTCCAGTTGTAATGTCAAACAAGCGTCCTATTGCAATGTCAAACAAACGTCCAATTGTAACATCCGACAAACGTCAAGTTGTAATGTCAAACAAACGTCCAATTGTAACATCCGACAAACGTCCAGTTGTAATGGCAAACAAGCGTCCTATTGCAATGCCAAACAAACGTCCAGTTGTAACATCCGACAAACGTCCAATTGTAATGTCAAACAAGCGTCCTATTGCAATGTCAAACAAACGTCCTATTGTAACATACGACAAACGTCCAGTTGTAATGTCAAACAAACGTCCAATTGTAACATCCGACAAACGTCAAGTTGTAATGTCAAACAAGCGTCCTATTGCAATGTCAAACAAACGTCCAGTTGTAACATCCGACAAACGTCCAGTTGTAATGTCAAACAAGCGTCCTATTGCAATGTCAAACAAACGTCCAATTGTAACATCCGACAAACGTCCAGTTGTAATGTCAAACAAAAGTCCAATTGTAACATTCGACAAGCGTCCAGTTGTAATGTCAAACAAGCGTCCTATTGCAATGTCAAACAAACGTCCAATTGTAACATCCGACAAACGTCCAGTTGTAATGTCAAACAAACGTCCAATTGTAACATTCGACAAACGTCCAGTTGTAATGTCAAACAAACGTCCTATTGCAATGTCAGACAAACGTCCAGTTGTAATGTCAAACAAACGTCCAATTGTAACGTCAACAAACGTCTTATTGCAATGTCAGACAAACTTCCAGTTGCAATGTCAAACAAACGTCCTATTGTAATGCCAGACAAACGTCCAATTGTAACATCCGACAAACGTCCAGTTGTAATGTCAAACAAGCGTCCTATTGCAATGCCAAACAAACGTCCAATTGTAACATCCTAAAAACGTCCAGTTGTAATGTCAAACAAGCGTCCTATCGCAATGGCAAACAAACGTCCAATTGTAACATCCGACAAACGTCCAGTTGTAATGTCAAACAAGCGTCCTATTGCAATGGCAAACAAACGTCCAGTTGTAACATCCGACAAACGTCCAGTTGTAATGTCAAACAAACGTCCTATTGTAACATCCGACAAACGTCCAGTTGTAATGTCAAACAAGCGTCCTATTGCAATGGCAAACAAACGTCCAGTTCTAACATCCGACAAACGTCCAGTTGTAATGTCAAACAAGCGTCCTATTGCAATGTCAAACAAATTTCCTATTGTAACATCCGACAAACGTCCAGTTGTAATGTCAAACAAACGTCCTATTGTAACATCCGACAAACGTCCTGTTGTAATGTCAAACAAGCGTCCTATTGCAATGGCAAACAAACGTCCAGTTGTAACATCCGACAAACGTCCAGTTGTAATGTCAAACAAAAGTCCAATTGTAACATTCGACAAGCGTCCAGTTGTAATGTCAAACAAGCGTCCTATTGCAATGTCAAACAAACGTCCAATTGTAACATCCGACAAACGTCCAGTTGTAATGTCAAACAAACGTCCAATTGTAACATCCGACAAACGTCCAGTTGTAATGTCAAACAAACGTCCTATTGCAATGTCAAACAAACGTCCAGTTGTAATGTCAAACAAACGTCCAATTGTAATGTCAAACAAACGTCTTATTGCAATGTCAGACAAACTTCCAGTTGCAATGTCAAACAAACGTCCTATTGTAATGCCAGACAAACGTCCAATTGTAACATCCGACAAACGTCCAGTTGTAATGTCAAACAAGCGTCCTATTGCAATGCCAAACAAACGTCCAATTGTAACATACGACAAACGTCCTGTTGTAATGTCAAACAAACGTCCTATTGCAATGTCAAACAAACGTCCAATTGTAACATCCGACAAACGTCCAGTTGAAATGTCAAACAAGCGTCCTATTGCAATGTCAAACAAACGTCCAATTGTAACATCCGACAAACGTCCAGTTGTAATGTGAAACAAGCGTCCTATTGCAATGTCAAACAAACGTCCAACTGTAACGTGACACGTCGAATTGTAATGTCATAAAAACGTCCAATTCTAATGTCAAACAAACGTCCAATTGTAATGTCCGACAAACGTCCTATTGCAATGTCCAACAAATGTCCAAATTGTAATGTCAGATAAACGTCCTATTGTAACGTCATACAAACGTCCAATGATAATGTCTGAAAAACGTCCAAGCGTAATGTCCGACAAACGTCCAATTGCAATGTCCGACAAACGTCCAATTCTAATATCCGACAAACGTCTAATTGTAATGTCCGAGTGACATAGGTCGCAGAGGTTTACTACTCTGGTGAAATACATTCACTCACTCAACTTCTAGTCACTGACTGTTCTAAGTAACTAGCTAAGGTGTCAGTTAAAGATTAATGCTTGTTGAAAGTATTAAACAATCATAAGCGCGAGCCATTGTGGTAATTGCACAATATATAGTTGTGAGTTCTAGTTACCTACACTGCTATAATTCTAGTCATGAAAAGGATCTAGCCTTTATGATATATCTAGCTAGTTTCAAGTACTAGTCTAGGACGTATAGACTGATCCCCGCTCTGGTTGCAGCAGTCCCTATACAATAAGGGGCGGTGTGGTAGCCGAGCTAGTGGTTAACGCGTTCGCTCATCTCGGCGAAGACCCAGGTTCGATTCCCCACATGGGTACAATCTGTGAAACCCATTTCTGGTCTATCCCGCTGTGATATTGCTGAAATATTGCTAAAAGTGGCGTAAAACCAAACTCACCCACCCCATACAATAAAGTGTTGTGCAAAAAGTGCCCCAAAACTGTTTGAAGCGTGATAAAATGACAGATCTGACAGCCAGATTACGCCTTGACAGACACCACCAAGAGCAAGGTTCTTGTCTCGTCGTGAGAGCTGTTGTTAAAAACGGAGTCAAAGTGAGGAATATCTGGATGATATTTGTATCTGGACTGCGCCTAATGGATTGTGTGCCTGCGATTAGATTCATGTATCTGTATCCTACATATCCTGTTTGTCTTTAAGGAAGACACCTGTGAAGACCTGGGTCTTCAGCAACCCATGCTTGTCGTAAGAGGCGACTAACGGGATCGGGTGGTCTGGCTCGCTGACTTGGTTGATGCAGGTCATCGTATCCCAGCTGAGCATATCGATGCTAATGATGTCAAACACTGGATTGTCTGGCCCATTACTTAAGGGATCGACGTAAAACAAACAAATAACAAACAATAGATTCAGTCTTATTAATTAAAACCACAGACTACAGACCACCAAAAACCAAAGTGTGACCACATTATTGGGGATCATGGGCAAGGCTGACAGTACCTTTGCTTCCTGCATATTTCCCCAGCAGGACTTATGTCATCACTTTGGTAATCAGTGACTGTAAGTTAACTAGTGGGCGGGGCTTATTTATCGGGACTGGATTGGTCTATTACAAAGTAAGCTTGCCAAGGTCGCTAATGTAAACTGTAATCATAAATGGAATTATGTTCCACTAGGTGCAGTAGGGTAGCCTCGAGGTTTAAGCGTTCGTTCACGCCGAAGACCCAGGCTAGTTATTCTCGAAAGCTAGTCCTACGAACTTCTTTAGCCCATTCTTAACACATTGGCTACGATCAAAGTTAAGAATTCTTAGGGCTACGAACGTTTCGAGAATAAAGCCCCTGGTTCGATTCCTCACATAGGAACAATGTTCGAAACCCATTTGGTGTGGTATTGCTGGAATATTGTTAAAAGCGGCGTAAATCTATACTCACTCGCTCGCCTACTACGTTCCACTGGCAGGACGGAAACATGTTTATGCTACTTAAACCCTTCGTGTCACCACCAGACATGATCGTAATATTAAACTGATGTTAAAACACATTTGACTTATTCAACATTTATCAATTTGTTCAGTTTCTCTTAAGAGCCCAAGAATTAAATGAGCTTTGATGTTTTTAAAGGGATCATTTAGAACCGTTAAGGTAGGTATCCGTCGTGAGCGATAGGTCGGAAGAATGGTAAAATAGATCTCCATGAAACCAGAGGGGCGGTGGGGTAGCCCAGTTGTTAAAGCGTTAGCTCATCACGCCAAAGACCCGGGTTCAATTCCCCACATGGGTACATTGTGTGAAGCCCATTTCCGGTGTCCCCCGCCGTAATATTGCTGGAATATTGCTAAAAGCGGCGTAAAAAGCCAACTCACTCACCCACTGAAACAAGAGACGACTTAATGGATCAAGGACATGGTTAATTGGATGTCATCGTAACCCGACGGCTTGGATGATTGCTCATACTATTGACCCCTGACTTGTATATAGATATGCATTTAGCTGTATCGTTAAACAATATACATAAACCATTATTTTCTTCTCGTTTTTTTAAGAACTATGGGAATAAACAATGGTCATATTAACATTATTAACATTCGATTTGTTTGACGTAATCAAATTCTCACAAAGCTTTGCCCTAATCTCTACCAACTGTAAACGTCTACTGTTATCAAGCCTTTCGTTCGAGACCGAGTATCATAACGTCACGTGATACAATCAAGATCGATCAGTAAAGATATCGATGAGAAGTCGTGCGAATGAGACTTGAACGTGTTGACAAATACCCTTCATGGGAAAGCCTTCATATGTTAAATTATACAACGCCATTTATGCAGATCTTATCGAGACAAGCCAAATGGACCGATATTGATTTTGACAGATCGGTTTAAACTATTGTTGACATTCGCCGGCCTACTCGTATCCACAATATAGTTACCACGATCCCTTCACCCAATACCCCTATATACCAGTGGACTCGACCACAGAAAGTAATTTGTTCTTGTGTTTAATTGTCAGCGAACAAACACGGGGGGTATTACATGTATGCCTTTATATACAGGACTACTATTATCTGATAAGTCAACCAGTCGTCGGCTTGGCGTGAAGAAATCTCAACCTGTATGCTTAGCAAATGTTTCCAATACGTCGACACAAACACCAAGGGCTAATCAATACCCGGGTAGAGAAAGTTGGCTTGAATGAAAGCAGCGGAGCATAAAACGTCGTGCCGGGTTATTGTTAGATTAGAACCAATATACGAACGTCTTGGGGCGAGCTTCAGGTGTGCTTGATAAAGCATGGTGCTTAATCCTGCTAGACGCCAGCCATGTTAGTCCTACGGAGTGAAAGCTTCCAGTCGCCTGTCGAGAATCACCGTTGACATAAGGTGTGAAATCAACGATAAGGTCTCGGATTTACTGCCAAAATGTCCAGGTGCAAGTGGAACTTCTCTACCTTAGATGAACTTCACAAGACAGCCAATGTCAGTCTCAAGTTGGCCATGATTAACGAACGCTCTAAACGTTGGGGGAAGGTAGGAATTGTTATTATGTATTTTATATGTATGTATGTGCGTTCGTACACTGTGAGGTATATGACAGTTGTTTTGTCTCTGCATTGTTGGCTTGGTGGTCATGTCAGTTATTGAGAGTTTCCCTAATCTTCTTGCTTGTATATATTGACATATTTATTTTGATATATATGACAGTATATTCAGCATACCGGAATCCTCAGTTTACCTGTATCAGAAAGGATATACGTGTCCAAAGATACATAGCTAAAGCAGACCATTCGTTGTGAAACTTTCATCTAATCGAACATATATTTCTATAAATGAGAGTGAATCATATATGTACGTACCTACCTAACACACACACAGACAGACACACACACATATATACATACATTCACACATACATACTTACATACAAACCTTAATCAGATGACCTAACAACTTTCAACCAAATGAAATAAATATATTCATTTGTACATTGTCATAAGATATTCTTGTATATTTTACAGAAATACGTATGTCGATGATGATTTTAAGACATGAATTTCATTTCTGGCGCTATACACGAAGAATGCTGAGAAAACACTGTGTGAAATGTTATTCTAGTCAGAGCTTCTGTTACGGTATGTTACTGCCCGACATGAGTTGACTGGGTAAACACAAAACAGATTTCGAATTTATTACACAAGACAGTAAACATCGATTTGATCAGCTGATATGCCTTGTTCTCGAAACCTATCTTAGAACTACGAGTGTTTAAACTGGCACACCTGAAAACAGATTTACGACTGTGCTATTTTGTCCAACGAGGCCCTGACGAGACACTTACTTGTCTAATTCATTCCTATGAGACCCGACATTTTGCTTTTTGTCAAAAACTGTACAATCACACTGTCATTTTAAAACTTTTTTCAAAAGCATGTTTATAAAGTATATTAAAACATGTGATACTTCATGATAGTGTTAGCCTAATAGTAAAAACGTTCGTTCGTTACGCCGAAGACCCGGGTTCGATTCCCACATGGGTACGTACAATGTGTGAAGCCCATTTCTGGTGTCCCCCGCTGTGATATTGCTGGAATATTGCTAAAAGACGCGTGATACTATATTCACTCACTCAGTCAGTCGCTCACCCACTCACTCACTCACTCACCCATACCAGTGTTATAAGACGAAACACACGTACGTAATACCTATATTAATCCTTCTCTAATTCTTCATTAGTGGATCCAGCGCCTTAATAGTGTTTGCAAAGATTAATTCGGCATAAGACTTCTCCAACCAATAGATCCTTACGAATGCTAAATAATCGTTTCCAGCTTCAAGTCGTCATATATTTTAGCTCTGTCTTATGACATTAATGATAATGTTACTGATTCAAGATGTAACGGCATTAATGTCAGGATTCCACCGTAACGTATGTCAACACGCTAAACGATGCTTAAATCATTCAAACATTAGATAATCCACCAATCAGATTTTGTCCATAGTGGTAGCGTTCCATCAGGTTGAGACACTCCGACGATAATCCAGCCCGTTGTGTTGGCTGTCTCGATCCAACTAATACCTTAGCCAGCAATGTTCCAGCCAATCCGATCGCCTCCGTGGTGTAGTGGTTAGAGCGTCCGCCCGTAAAGCGGAAGGTCGCGGGTTCGATCCCCGACAGCGTCAAACCAAAAGACGTTAAAATATGGTACTTGTTGGTCCCCTGCCTGGCGCTTGACATTAATGGGTACAACAAGGACTGGTCGGCTCGGAGTCAGTATAATGTGTCTGAGTGGGGTATTCATGCTTCACTGCGGCATGGTATCTCAGTGGGCTAGCACTATAAAACCAGCTTAAGTCTGGGCTAGTACAAGCAGCCACACATACAAATACACGCGCATGCACGTCGTCATATGAGCGAAATATTCTCAAGCACGACGTTAAACCCCATATCACCTCACCTCCAGTCAAATCACATACAATGTGTCCCCGGCCGTGAAATAATGCTAAAAGCGGCGTAAAACTCACTCACTCACCCACTCACTCACTCACTAAACGGTCAGTCTCTGATATCTAATTTGTAGAGAAAGAAGCACCTATATTTACATTGAACAGAAGCCCAAATGAAAAGGTTGATTCAGAGGGTGTGTCAAGACACCCTCACGGACTTTAGCATTACTGCAATGGCTGGGCGGAAGGAATTAATTTAGTTCAGGGACTACGACGGGCTAAGCTGTTAGAAACGTCATGGTTTACAGATAAACTTAACGAGAGCGAACTCATTAATCATCACGAGATAACCTCGGTCAGAAACAATATTTTGTACACACTGTACCCTGATTTGTGGTGATGTTGGGTGTCCTGTGTGTACCTAGTTCCCAAATACCTTGAAGTACCTTCCCGGTACTAAAGTGTTTGTTTGTTTGTTTGTTTGTTATTGTCGCACTCAACAATGTTGCAGTTACACGTATGACGGTGGTTTGCATAGAATCGATGGAGACCAGACGATGTAGTGATTGTCACCAAAAAGCATACATCTATGCACATGGGATATGACGACATGCAAAAAAACAAGTCAACGAGCATGACACCCCCATCCCTTTAGTCTGCTCTTGTGACAATCGGGGCGGTGGGGTAGGCTAGTGGTTAGAGCGGTGGCTCGTCACGCCGAAGACCCGGGTTCGAATCCCAACATGGGTACAATGTGTGAAGCCCATTTCTGGTGTCCCCCGCCGTGATGTTGCTGGAATATTGCTAAAAGCGGCGTAAAACAAAACTCAGTCAGTCAGTCTTGTGACAATCATGCACAGACCATCGTCTACCTATATCTTCACGAGCATGGCGCAAAAGTGACAATGAGTCCTCACAAACCAGTTCCCTATAAGTTCTACTACCACGTTAATGAACCCATGTTTGATCCGTCTGTCAGAAGACAGCAAATCACAATTAATATTATATCACATATGTGATATTTCCACCAGTTTGACAAGTGTTGATATATACAAAATATAGAAACGACAGTTTTGTGTCACGAATATTTGAGATGACATTTTGACTTCAGTGTTCACTACAAAACACTTTGTTCTGTAAATGAAGTTACCTTTTCGATTCTGTCGGTGCCAACATCATAGAATAAACACGAGTGAAGGTCCGGGTTAGAATTGGTCCTCAGCAACCCATGCTTGTCGTAACAGGCAACTATCGGGTGGTCAGGCTTACTCACTTGGTTGACACATGGCATCGTATCCCAATTGCGTAGGTAGATGATCATGCTGTTGATCACTGTATTGTCTGGTCCAGACTCGATTATGTACAGATAGAGACCGCTATCATATAGCTGGAATATTGCGGCGAGTGGCGTTAAACAACAAACAAACAAAATATAAAATCATGTGTACTTAATGATGTTTATTACAAAGTACAGCTGGCAATATTTCTATCCGAGAGTGCACCTGTGCACCACCTGGTCGGTAACATGAACTGAACATTTCCAAGTACACACGTGTTACCCGGAAATGCACGTGATAGTCATGCAAAAAACGTTTCGCACGAAATAGAAACCGGAATTGTACTGACTGACATTTGCCAGCGTTGATTGGAAGAGCATTTCGTTAAGAGACTTGAACATATTGATAAATCTGATTATTTTCGATTATTTCGTTTAGCCATAAAAACAAATAAAAGGAGTGGTTATATGCTAATTTTAAGTGGAATGCTTGTTCATGCTGTGGGAGGCTATTCCATGAAATATGCACGCCTCGCTTCAAACGCAATTAACCGGAACAACTTTCACGGTACATTCCTGTGTTGAAGTCACAGCAGGCGCATCTACTGAACATAACTTCGATTAATGTTTGTGTCGTGTCTTTGTGTTTGTGTATCTATATGTAGATATACTTAAATATATCCATTACTCATATATACTCATTACGAATGAGTAAGTCGGGTTTTACGCCTCTTTTAACAATATTCCAGCAACCATATAGTTATGAGAGACATAAAATGATTGCCGTATATACACATGACTGAAATACACATGGTATAACAAGCTTTACGATAAAACGTAGGGAAAGAAAGATAAAAGGTAGTGAAAACGGAAAACAAATTAAAACAAGTTTACATTTACATATAAAAGGATATTACTATTGCACATATAAACAATTCCTTCTTCTAGCGAGAATAAAATGGCAGGTTTTGACAGCTGAAAACTTAAAAAGGGGCTGGACAGGATAAAATGTAGTTTGCTTGTATCACAGAAGCTAATAAAATCGGGTTCGGCATCTTCACACTTGGATAGAAGCTGTGATCTCTCATTTGTATACCGTGGACACTTCAATAAAACGTGGCATTCATCCTCTATTTGGTCTGGGCAGTTAAAACAAGTTCTCTCCCCTAACGGTATATTGCAGTGGCGGCCGGTTTCTACCTACAGTGGTGCAACTCCACACCTGATTTTAGCAAGAACACTCCTATAATGACGAGGCATATTGGATAATAGAGAATACTACACGAGGTCTCATTACATACGAATTATACGAAACGAGTGTCCTTCCTATGGTATATTGCAGTGGCGCCCGGTTTCTACCTACAGTGGTGCAAACTCCACACCTGATTTTAGCAAGAACACTCCTATAATGACGAGGCATATTGGATAATAGAGAATACTACACGAGGCCTCATTACATACGAATTATACGAAACGAGTGTCCTTCCTATGGTATCTGATCGAGCGAAAGCGAGGTCAGAAACCATAGGAAGGTCACGAGTTTCGTATAATTCGTATGTTATGAGACCGAGTGAGGTATTTTATTTATTACCCACGTCTCACATGCATTAAATTGACAAAATAGCGTATTTTTGTTATTTTTATGGTTTCAAACGGAAACCGGTTTCATAAAGAGGTTGCAGAAGAATTTTGTTCTGTAGTACACTTTTTGCATGACGTCACACTGTAATGACGTCACTGCCTTGGTAACCGACGTCACGATGCATGTCAGTTGTCATCGCCTCGTACAGCCTCCTACAGTAAACTACTC